CGATCGTATAATATACTATAACTCTTTAGTCTGAATTAAACAAAAATATGTGAATCATTCTTTTGTATGAATTATTTGTTAATCAAGCATTTCTACATAACATAGTTATTTACAATTTTTCACTTTGATTTGAATAAAGTATCTATATACTTGTTTATAATAAATTATTCCTTTATTAACTGCAGTTCCATGATATAACCATCTATATATGTTTGTTCTCCATTGAACTATATACAGGAATAGTTATTTGTTATCAATAATTTCTTCATCGCATGTTTCTCGATGATATAATCGATGGAAATGATTTGCTTCGATTTGAACGAAATAGTTGACTAGTTATTTAGTATAAATTATTCCTTGATCTAATGTTTGTCAATAAAATAATAAATTATACATTTTTACTGAGAATTACACAAAATATCTTATGAATGATTTCTTGATAAAGTGGTAATCAATGATATAATGAAATACAAATTTTTCCTTCGATTTAAACATAATAATTGATAGGTTCTTTGTTATGAAATATTATTTGATCGTGTATCTCTTGACGGTACAATCAACAGGAAACCTTTGTTTTGAATTGAACAAAATGTTTGAATAATTATCTAGTATGAATTATTCTTTGATCAGATGTTTCTCTATTGTTGTATAATTAACTTCATACATTTCTATTGAATGAGACAAAATATTTGAAAACTTGTTTCTTAAGAATTATTCCTTCATCGAGCATTCTTCGATGATTATATCATCGACGAATTTTACCAATAGATTTAGTAAAATATTTGAAAACATATTTGTTATGGACTATTTCAACATCGAATGTTTCACTATGACATAACAAACCATCAATCTTTTCTTTGATTTAAATAGAAAACTTGAATAGTTGTTTATTAAAGATTATTCCTTTATTGAGCGTTTCTAAATGGTATAATCATCTTTAAGTCGTTCCTTCGATTAGAACAAAATATTCAAAAGACTTTTTATTATGAATTATGCCTTTATCCAGTGTGTCTCGGTGATATAATCAATTTCAAGTCTTTCTTCCGAATCAAGGAAAATATATCAATAGCTTTTTATTATAAATTATTCTTTCACTAAATGTTTCTCGATGATATAATTATTTATAAATCTTGACTATAAATGAAATGAAACGTTTCAATTGTTATTTCGTATGATATATTCCTCACTAACATATTCTTTAATAATATAGTTAATTAAGAATCTTTCATATGAATTGAAAAATGTCTTTGAATATTTGATTATTATGAATTGTTCCTTGATCTAGGGTATTTCGATGATGTCATCATCTGTAAATCTTCGATTCGGTTAGACCAAAGTATCTGAATAGTTATTTGTTGTGAATCATCCCTTGATTGAATGTTCTTTGATAATATAACTGGTTTCGAATCTTTACTTTGTATTCAACATGACATTTGGGTAGGTGTAGATGTGTGGGTGTGGGTGTGGGTGGTGTGGGTGTGGATGTGGGTGTAAGTATTGTCTTCTCTTTATTAACACCTACACCCACACCCACACCCACACCCACACCCACACCCACACCCAACCACAACATAAAGCAGCCTATTGGTGGCAGTTAGATCAATTGTATAGTTATGAAGTCAAAACTGCCTGATGAGATCCTTAAGCAAGACCAAAACGCGTCTTAGTTTGCTCGCCCCCCCCCTCTCCACCTTCCCATGTACATACCCTGCAACACTCAACATAAATGTGCGAGCATCAAAATTCATAAATATTTATTTTATTATGTTGCGACCGGGTCTAACTCGATTCTTCAAGCAACTGTAAAACACATTATTCACTCGAGGAACTATGATTTTTAGAGTAGTTGTCAAACCTCCAATAAGTCCGAGAATAGTTTTTATTACGGTGATCCAACTATTTTTACCCAAATACGAGTAAGTACATGTTGCCGGTTGGCATCGAGCATAATAATTTTCGTGTGATGCTTGATTCGTCCATTCTTCGACCATGAGTCGGTCAACAATGGTGCCAATGGGCGAATCCGGTTCATACTGGCTGGGCACTGTCAGGTCGAGTGCAGTTGCATCGATTTTAGCCGTTGAATTAATTACTGCCAGTAGTTCATCAATACAGGATTGATTATAAAAACAGCCGAGATTCGACTGTAAAAGAGATTCGACCATGTAACAACCAATTAAAATACCTGGTACAGTGTAAATGTCAATAAATTTGCGTGTGGAAAAATTGAATGACGCCTCGTAGATGGCTGACTTTCCAACACAGCTCGGTGATTTTTGGCAGTTACAATCAGATGATGCATTGATGGCATATGTTGTGTACGATGAAATAATCGTGAGAGTCTGATTTTCGAATACGACATTGAATTGAATATTTGATGATCGGATTGAAACAAGAACATTACTTTCAGTGATATCGCGCACCTGTTGAATCGAACGTATAAAATAATTTTTCGTCGATGCAATAAAAAGCTGAACGAATGAATCAGTTTCCACTTTGAAAAGGTCAAGTGCAATGGAGTTACCCGTGACATAGCGATTTGCATGAAATATGACCAATTCACTATCGATTATTGAGCGCGTCAAATTGCAGAATGATCCCAGAACACGAAAGAGCAAGTGACCAGTAAAACGAAAGTCCATGTAGAATATTTCATTCGTGTGTATTGAGTTTCTAATGAGTGAATGCCATTCCTCAGTAACATAAATACTTTGACATACTTGATGAAAGCGAGTGGCGTTCATTTCAATGAATTGCTCATAGGGAATTGAAACGGTTGTGCATGGACACGAAAGTGATTGGGAAAAGTGATTGTAAATTTCTGTGTACTGACTGTATGAGGGTGACTGAAGAGTCACCATTCTTGTCACAGGCACTTGCGATGTATATGTAATCATTACAGCTAGAGAAACGAACAGAAGAACGGCAAAACAACGTGTTGAAATAAGCTGTCTTTTGATTTCATATTCAGCATTAATACTTGATGATGGAGGCGCGTAGAACAAGTTAAAGCTCGAAAGAAATAATTTAAATTTGTGCCACAAACGGTGGATACGTTCGCAAAAAGGTAGCTCTGAAATGTATCAAAGATTCATTTTAGGTGAGAATTTTGATTCAAGCATTTCTCTGCATTAGTTTCATTCGCATTGAAATTCAAAAAAAGAAGCTACTTGTGATAAGAAAACAATATGGGTCGCAAAATTCAACGCAAAAACACCCTAATATGTTCAAACTTCACATACCAAAAGACTCTTGATGCGCCCGATTTGCTCTGATTTGAAAAGCTTTGCGTGAGTGATACTTATTTTCTTGAAAAGAAAACTATCAACGAATTCGAAAATGAAGTGAAATTTGTTAAGTTTTACTTAGGTCGCAAATTCACATTTACTTTCAATTTAATTTATGCGCAAATTAAATTATCAGTAATTTATGTTTAAAATAAATCTAAATTATGTTTTTTCAAAAATTGACAGTTAAAAATAAATATAAATTACTATAAGTTAAATGTATTTTAAATATAAATTGTTTTCATTCAATTTATAATTTATTAAATTATAAATTAAATTAAATTATTCTATTTCTTTGTCATAACCCTGTTGTAAGTCTTCGTACAAGATGTTGGTTGATTTTCCAGCCACTGAGAAGTAACTTGAGAAGATGAAAAGTAGTCAGTTACAATCAGAATTTGATATTCTTCATAAAAGTGTGTTCAGAAGTTTTTTTTTTAACCTGAAGTCGAATCATTGAGAGCAAATCTTTGATGGAGACGAAAAATGACGTTTGTACAGAATATTTTACATAGTCTATTTTCGTATTTTGATTGAAACTGACTGAATTCAAATTTTAGGAAAGTGGTTTTATACACCAGTTTACAGAACATAGCTTGCTTTGCTTTCAACATATCGTTGTAACTCATCAGAATCTATTACATTTTAAATGTTGAAAACCGCAAAAAATGATTATTCTGAAAAATATCATTTCATTTAGAGAGTTGAATTTCGAAAATTTTGTCTAGCTTTTGATTCTTTTGAGTTCTAGCTTATTGAAACTTATGCTTTTGAAGAACATTAAATTCTCTACAACAATAGCAAGTAGAAATAATTCCCAAATAACCTTTAGAGAAATTATGAAATGAGAGGGAAAAGGCATATTTGCGTGATGCAAACGACATCTCTTATCGATATAGGTATTTGCTTACATTTAACTAGCCGTGAGTCAGAAGAAAATTCTAAAGATATATTTATAAAACACATCAAATTCTGGTTCTAATCGACTGTCTTTGGTTCTCTTCTGTTAGATTTAAATGTCCGAAAAATCAGCAAACACATTTACCAAGACTTTTCAAATTAGTGCTTTGTGCAAACGTTATTTTTGGTCCCCGTCAAAGATTTGGTTCCAATGATTCATCTCCAAGTTAGAAAAAAACCTTGTGAACACACATTTAGAGTGAGCATCAAATTCTGATTCTAACTGACTACTTTTCATTTTCTTAAGTTACTTCTTAGTAGCCGAAATAAAAACAAATATTTTGTACCAAGATTTTTGTAACAGGAGTTCGTTCATCCCAGTCGGACGAACAAAAGAAAAGAACCGTAACAACTTATTGAAATTTTAACGAAAATAAACTCGTGAAAAATCCACATGTAATCGTGTTCAAAACGCGTTGGAGTTTTAGAAAAATATACTTATCTATTCAAAAATTTAAAGCGTTTCGAACACAATTATATGTACATTTTTTATAGTTTATTTTCGTTAAAATTTCAACTGGTTTTTACGCGTTTTTTCTCTTGTTCGTTTGCCTGAGATAAAATATGACAAAGAAATGGAATATTTTGATTTAATTTATTATTTAATAAAATATAAATTTTATGCAAACCATTTTGTATCTAATATAAATTTAACTCATGAGAATTTAAATTTATTTTAAATGGACAGGAAAATGACGCCTCTAACGTAAGTCTGACATGCTTTGAAGTTTTTTGTCTACTTTAGATTCTGATTCAACTAAGAAGTGTTTCTCCTGAAAGAAAATAAGCCGTGACCGAGTTACCGTCAATGGGCACTGGTTGTTGTCTAGAAAATCGACTTCGAACGAATTTGATAAAGAAAGGAACCAAAATTTTTAAAGAAATTGTTAAACCACCAATAAACTCAATAATATTCGTAATTACAATCAACATATGTTCCTTGTCTTTGTATGTGTAAATGCATTGGGCTGGTTTGCAATTGTTAAAAAATGCTCGATGATTCGTTGTAACGGTCCAATTTTCGACCATCATTTGAGCAACAATGATACTGATAGGCGATATCGCATTGAATTGACTGTGAACAGCAATGGAATCATCGAGAGCTGTAGCATTGAAAGTTATTGTTGAATGAATGTTCAAGTGAAAATTTTCCAAACACGCTTGATTATAGTAACACTCAAGCGTCGACTGAAGTGTTGCTTCTTCAATGTAGCAACCAATGCGAAGACCAGGTACTGGAAATGGTGGGAAACGCGCAAAAATATCTTGAATTACAACCTGTTCCATACAATCAGTAGAAATACCACATGAACATGTACCATTGGCGTACACCGCCATATAAACATCAACGAAAATATTGGGCGGGCCGCCTCTTAGAACTCGTGATGCCATTGTTAGAAAGCCGGTATCGATTGCATTGCTTGATATTAACACTCTGTTGATATTTAACGAATGAGAAAATGTACTTGTTATTGACGATGTATACCAGTCAACTAATGATTGAACTTGTTTTTCTAAAAGGTCTATAGAACTAACTTCACATGCTATCCATTCTAAGCTATAGAATGAGGTCATATTATTGATGATAGTAGTTTTAGCGAAACGACACCACGATGCGACAAGTTCCATATGAGCTTGACCTGTCATAATAGCATTACCAAGTAGAGAGCGACTGAGAAATTCAAAATAACGATCGGAAATAAAGTCACTCGAGCACACTTGATGAAGTCGAACATCGACATTAATGAATTGATCCTGCTGAATGGCAATTGTCGTACATGGGCATGAGAGCGACTCAGAATAACTTTTGTACAAGTTGAGGTATGTAGAATATAATGGCGATTCGATGATAACAGTCGTTATTACGAATACTTCTGCCTTATAGATGACAAGCACGCCAAGTATGACAGGCAGCAGAACAATATAAATACGTGTTGAAATGAGCTGTGTCTTGAGTTCGTAAGCTGCGTCGGCCGCAGGAATAGGTTTATCAGGAACAAACATGTTCATCGTCAATAGAAATGTTTTAAGTGTAATCAATAAATTTCGAATACGATTTATAAATGATATGCCTAAAACGATTCAGAATAGAAATTTCATTTATCTCGCTGTGATTAACTCGCGCATGGTTGTGTCCAGCCGTGGGATATCAAGAACTTTTGTGTTGTTCATATATCCAGAAGATGTCATCTTTAGATAGACTCACATTTTTTAACAAGAACAATACAATTCAAGCTAAACAAGACCATGATATCAGCCCAATCAACTTACTGCAATTCTTCTGCCTCGGAGATCGAATCAAACTTATGATGCGAGGTACTACAATATTTAGTATGGTTGTCAGGCCTCCGATGACTCCGATGATAGTCGTCAACACAGTCAACCAACTATTTTTGCCCAAATATGAGTAAGTACATGTTACCGGTTGACATCGAGCATAATAATCTTCGTGCGACGTTTGATTCGTCCATTCTTCGACCATGAGCCGATCAACAAGACTGCCAATGGTTGAACCTAATTTATATTGACTGGGCATTGTCTGATTGAGTGCAGTCGCATCGATCTTAACCGTTGAATTAAGTACTGTCAGTAGTTCATCAATACAGGATTGATCATAAAAACAGCCGAGATTCGACTGTAAAAGAGATTCGACTACGTAACATCCGGAAAGCATACCATGTACAAGAACTAAACCATTATCATTAACATACATTGGCCCTGTGCATAGAGGACTTTGTCCACAGGAACAAAATGATGTTTTATTCTGGAAAATTTTCAACAATGATAGAAAAAAATAATGTCTTGCGTTATTAACATCTACGAATGACTGTATTTCAAAATCAAAATTGGTCAATAGTCCTGATAGAAGTCCATTTGAATGAGTCGAATCCCGAATAACCTTGAGTAACCCAGTGAAAGACCGAGTTGTAGTTGATATGAAAAGGGTTATGAGCACATCTGTTCGTTGTTCAAAGATATTACGTGGTATAACCGTGCCTGAAGTGAGTCGAGTAGCAAAGAAATCAGTCAAGCCATCAGTGATCGCTGTTTTTGTCAACTTACAGAGTGACTCGAGCATTTGAAATTGCGGCCTGCCAAGGTATCGAAACGAGGTGGAAATTCGATGAGGATCGGCGGTAGAATCGATTAAAGTGCGCCAAGCCGATGTGATAAAAACACTGCCACACACTTGATGAAAGGAAACATTAACATTTATAAATTGGCTGTATGGAATCGAAATCGACGTACAAGGACAGACAATACTTTGCTCATATGAGTGATACAATCTTGAATATTGCTCATATGTAGGCCTGTCAACAGTGACACTTATTATCACGGATACTTGCGATTTATAAATGACAAGTAAGAAGAGCGAAACAATCATTAGAACAATAAAGAGACGAGTCGAAATTCGCTGGGTTCTTATTTCATGTTGATTCGTAGTTCGGTGTGCTACAGAGTCGAACAAGTTGAATTCGACGAGAAATCTTTTCAGTCCAATATAAAATCCAAGAAGACGATCCATCGTAAGACCGTAGTATTAAAGATTGTTGACAAAAATGATCTATACGAAAAGTAATTAGTTGTGAATTTATACGGTGTCGATAGGAAAAGCAAAGGCAACGGCAATCTTGTAGATTGAAAGTGAATCAGAAAAAAAATCTTTGTAATAAAACTTATTTCTTGACTGAAGAGAGTTCTTCATCAAGCAAAAAACCGAACAACTAATAATAACTTACGGAGATTAATTATTTTCTCAATAGTGATAATCAGCAATACGTGAGAATAGACCTTCTCCCTTAGAGTGGTTCTTTTACTTCCTTGCTACTTGCTAAAAAAAGAGGAAAGAAAAGGAAAGGTGTAAAACTTTCTTTTTTCTTTTTCGTTTTACAAAATAGAGCTAGATCTTATAAGTTATTCTAACGAGAGAAAAGTGGACGAAGTCAAAACTTAAGTTGAAAGAAAGTAAAAGAAAGTTAAATTAATTATTTTGCTTTCGAAAAAGATACTTAAGTCATACCAAAAGCCTTTACGGAACTATATCAATTTCTAATAGAGCGTTTGAAGAAATTTTCTTTTTATATAGACTGATAGTAAAAACAAAGTTCTACATATCTACACTATTTGATCATTATTCATCTAATATCATAATAATAAAATTTCGATGAGAACTATTTTTATGTAAACTTTACTAACGTGTGAGGCATATTAATGACTATGTTTTGTATTTCAATTTTCAATCACATAATACGTTGTATTAAAAGACAAAATATATCACAAGATGCAATGTGCAAAACTCTACAATTCATAAAGATGTGTTTATTTTTAACATGGAATAGGAAAAAAGGAATTTTTCTTCGCACAGAAAAAAATGATTTTTTCGACGCAGTAAAAATTAGTCACATAGGATTTTATTTTTTTTTTAAAGAAGTAAACAATTAATTTACGCGTTACTTTGTAGATTGTAGAGCTTTTCACACTGCATCTTGCGATGTATTTTGTATTTTTTTAATAAAAGACATAAAAGACAAAAAGATGAAATAAGCAAAATGAATTCATCCGCCACCAAAAAAAAAAAACATAAGTTTTTGAAAATCGAAAATTGGTAACTCAAAACTTGGTCATTTGAAACAAAAAAGTGCAACTATGAAATAAGCGGTCTTATGTAAATTGTAAAGCTTTTTACGCTGCATCTTCTCGTATAGTTCGTTTTTTAATATAACGTATTAAATGATGAAAATATTTAATCTACCTGACCGTTAGTTAAGTTCACACAAAAATAGTTCTCATCGGAATTTTATTATTATGATCTTATATGAATAATGATCAAATATTGAATATATGTAGAGCTTTGTTTTTACTATCAGTCTGTGTAATAAGAAAACTTCTTCAAGCATTCTATTAGAAATTGATATAGCTCCATAAAGAGTTTCGGTATGACCTATGTAGCATTTGCAGAATTAGTATTAAATTTTGAGTAAAATTATATGTTTTTTCTCTATCAAAAATGACTTTCATCTCTCATACGTTATTTTGCATTTGTAGGGCACCGAAGACCATCCCAAAAAAATTTTGTTTTTAATTCTATTGAATGATAATTCTTTACCTGAAGAATTTAATGCTGATGCTGAATATGTCTTTCATTTCAAAAACAAAATAACTGATCAGCTTTGTTTTACTTTCTTTCGACTTTCTCTTTGACTTCTTTAATTTTTTTCCGCGTTAGAGCAGCATAAAAGATCTAGTTCTTTCTTTTCGAACATAAAAAAAATAAAGTTTTTCAACTTTACTTTCCTTTCTCTTTTGCTGAAAGAAAGAGAGAGCGCTACCCCTAAAAATTCTCTTACTTCAGCGCGAGTCAATATACCATTTTTTCATGAGTTGTCTGATCCGAGTTTGAATATAAACGGAGAGCGAAAACTCTATTATCACTTCGAAAATAAACGAAAAATAACGGCTTTCACGTTAAAATAGCAAAAAAGCAAAAGATAAATTTAATATAATTTATAATTTATAAATTAAAAAGCAGTCATGTTAAATTAGGAAAATAGCAAAAGATAAAATTTTATATAAATTATAATTCACAAATTGAAAAGCAGTCATGTTAAATTAGGAAAACAGCAAGAGATAAAATTTTATATGAATTATAATTTATAAAATCAAAGGCAGTCATGCAAAAATATCAAAAAGGAAAAAGTTATGTTTTATCGTAGTTATAAATTTATGATTGTAATTACATAAAGGGTGTTCCATAATAACTGAGGATAATTTGTTATTCGTATTTTTCATAGTTTTACTCGATGTAAAAGGCTGAGATTTTTATCAGATATACATCTGATTAAGATCTTTTATTGCTGAAAGTTTCAGCTCTCTAGCTACAACTAGTGGTAAAATACATCGAAAAAACTGAATACATTAATTTTCGCAATCGCTTTCTGCATATATGTTTACTTCGAAAATATTGTAAGGTAGTCCTAAGGATAGTCAACCAAAAAATCATGAAGTATCAAAAAATTTTCTTTCGTATCAGACTTTGTACAGCTTGTTTCGCTGGTCATTTTGGTAAAAACACTTTTCAAATTTTATTCAGAAATGACGATGTTATGGTTAAAAAATAAAACACTGTAAAATAGCTTAAAAATGTAAGGAAAAATCGATTCATATATCTCAGAATGGTTATTTTCTGGAGAAATGTGACATAGTAGCTTTAGTAGAGGCAAGTTTGCTCTACAAAACCCAGTAGACGGTTTCTCAGATACGGACGAATCGAATAAATAAATCACGATTGAACACTATACCATATTTCTATCAAAAAAATCTGACATCTTCGGTTTTTATGATAAATATTTTGATCATAACATCGTCATTTCTCCACGGAATTCAAAAAATTTTTTTATCAAATGGATCAGCGAGAAAAGCTGTACAAACTCTTATGCAGAAGAAAATTTTTGGATACTTTGTGAGTTTTTGGTTGGTTACGCATGGAACTACCCTGCGAAATCGATCACAAAAACTTATGTATTCAGTTTTACCGATGTATTTTACCACTATTTATAGCTAGAGAACTGAAATTTTCAGCAATAAAAGATCTTGATCAGATGTATATGTGATAAAAATTTCAGCCTTTTACATCGAGTTAAACTATGAAAAATACGAATAACAAATTATCCTCAGTTATTATGGAACACCCTTTATATATGAAACTTAAAACTTGAATTCAATTGAAATTTCAAGTTTCAACTGGAATTTCAACTTTGGACTTTCAAGTTGCAAAAGAATGGCACTCAGAAGAATCAGGAATCACGAGCATTTATGCACGCACGTGTTCGCAGCTGGTGTGGTTGCGACGAAAGGTGTTTCATCAAGGTCGTTCAACGTACTGTCACACACACGCATCATCGCAGGAGTGCTGCCGGTTTGAAAGTTGAAATTTGGAACTTGAAATTTCTGTTGCAACTTAAATTTCAATTGAATTCAAGTTTTAAGTTTGATATCCGAGCCGAAATGGGACAGTAATGTAAATCTTTCAAAATAGGAAAGGATAAAATCCTGCATGAATGATACTTTTTCAATTCTAGAACATCCGCATGTGGAATTAGGTGAGCAGCATACAGCAGCTGTTTATCTAAATTACAATACTTAATCTGTCGCATACTATTGCCGTCTGATATGCTGCAAACACGAAATGACACGCTAGGCGCGTCATCTGGAAACTGAACACATTATGTTTGGTGCAAAATGGGTCATCTTTGATGCTAGATGCATCAACTCGAATGCTACCCACGTCATCTGCAACTGTAGATGGATCATCTGAGATGCTAGAAGCACCACCTGAGATGCTAGAAGCACCACCTGAGATACGCGACACATAATCTCAAACTTTAGAACTACTGTCTCTGATGTTAGTAGCATCATCTGTGATCCTATAAGCATTGTTGGCACCCTACAGGGTGTGGGTGGTGTGGATGGTGTGGGTGTGGATGTGAGTTTCGGTGCGGATCTAAGAGCACGGTACACCTACAACCACATGCAAATCCACTACCTTACACCCGCAGTCAAACCCACACCCACACTATCCACACCCACACCCACACCCACACCCACACCCACACCCGCACCCGCACCCACATCCACATCCACACCACCGCGCACACCCATACCCACACCCACACCCAGCATCCAATCGGCATTTCGAATTTCCTCGTCATCAAGGATGAGTTTAACTATGGAGGTGATTTGAGGTTCAGCTTTCATATAATATCGATAGTTGCACAGTGCAGTCTCAATCTCTGCATGACCCACTTTCGTCCATTCGATAGCAACTTCTTCAGCAACAAATTTCTGACCATCTGTTGCATCAACAGTAGGGTTTATGAGAAACATGTCCTGAATCTGAGATGAAGATGCTTCATTACAAAGCGTGACATCAATACGGTTTTTCTGTGACGGTATCGCTCCTTTTTTAGCAAAAGTTCGACGATCTCGGAATGACCATAATGACTGACCGCATGAAGAGCGGTAGAACCATTGAGCTCGACTCGGTTGATTTCATCCAGAGACAGTGCAGAAAGTAACTGTTTCACCATTAGAAAATCTCCACCACTACATGCACGATACAAAGCGCTAGTCATGTTGTATCGTGGATGCTCTCACACTGATAAAGAATACGCCCTTTATAACCAGCAGTGACAAAATATTCGATAATAATAGTGGTACAGATAAGAAAAGTTAAAAAACGAGAGAATAGAATATTCGGTGTAGCTGTGACTGTAAACATAGGCGGCGGAGCGTCTTAAATCTACATCCGAAAAAAATAGGTTTGTTACTGAAAATTAAAAGTTCCCCATTTTTATACCGAACGATTTTACGTTCTGTGTAGGGATGGCACTTTATGCGTGTGGGTGTGGGTGTAAGGTGTCGGTCAGGAGAAGATAAAAACCATCACACACACTAACACCCACACCCAGTAATATACAGTTCGATGCGTCTTCATCTCTTCTTTCCAACGGTGAAAATCGCAGTTCTCTATCTTGTTGCTATCAAACGTTATTCAAGAAGTACTGACGAGCATTCATGCTGCCAGCACATATGCGAAAGAAACAAATCTTATCGAAATTGTATTATTATGATATTAGTTGAATGGTGATCAAATAGCATAGAAAAATAGAGCAAAAGACGCTCTATCTGTGCATAAAAAAAGTTTTTTTCAAGCAGTCTATACGAAATTAGGATGCGGGGCCACTACTTTTGGTATGACCTAAGTAATTTGATTTTCTAAATCAATATTCAAAATTGAGTAGACCTATGTGAATTTCAAGTGCTTTCAAGTTCTATTATTGTAAAATGAAAGTACTAGTCAACATAGCCTATGTTCAAACAATAATAATATCATTTTGACGATACTCAAGTTTTGTGGTTAACCCTGAAGGAAATCTGAGGCGAATTTTTCGACGAATAATAAAGTCGTAAACCAGATTTAAAGTTCACACAAGTCTACTCAGTTTTGGATGCTAATTCATAATAACACACCAGTTTTGATAAGAATACTACTTTTTCTGGTCAAAATCATGTTTAGAGAACAGTATCGTGCAGACTTTTATAATTGGTCAGTATTTTTTCCTTTCTGTTTCTACATGATTTTGTAATGCTTAACAATCTTTATTAAACCGGATAAAAACTCGTCTGGCGACTGACAAAATTAGTTAGCCTAGACCCAGCATTCAGTAGATATATTGGAGAAATATGCTTTATATGGCGCTATATGTGTCAGTATTTTTCTGAATATGTTTATACCATTTTGTAGCTCTTCAAATGCTCTATCAAACCACATGAAAACTAGCCTGATCAAATGACGGACCTGTATGGTATGTAAACGACAGCCATTAACAGATTTCAACACATTGTTTGACAGGTTTGATATGAGGAAATCAGATTTTTTAAGAGACTGATTTCATCTCTTATCGACTTCTCTCCTTTATTCAAATACTTTTGATTTACTTTATGATTAAAGTACCTTGATGATCATCAAGTTTCGTTACATAAATTATAATTAAGTATAAAAGATTGTTTTTCGATATCATCTTTACATGTTCTATTTTCCATGATTCGAAGAATTTAACACAAATAGAAATTATTCAAAAAACAACCTAGTTGAATTAATTTACTCTCAAAACATCTAGCACTAAAAAACTGATTTATTTTGTTTTTTTTTCAATAGAATAACAAAGTCATATAATTGGATTCAAGTCAAAAGAATATCTTTATTGGATATAAATTATCTCATGCAGGGTGGGTATGGGTGTTAGAGAAGAGTACACTAGACAAACACACCGACACCCACATCTACGCCTTCGCTCAGAGCAGAGCAAAATGTTCAAGACTCAGTTCTGTTCCATAAAGAAACGCTTTGAAATTTTGAAATCAAGTATTCGACTCGACTAACAAAGTTGATGTTTGTTGTCGCGTCTCGATTTTGTGAATAACTTCAACTAAACCGCAAAGTGGAATGTTGATCCATTGCGGTCGATAATGCATTTCATAGGCAAGTTCATGAACAGTTCGTTCCAATAAGTGAAAAAGAAATAAATCGTTGCATTCACATTTGTCCACCCACAGCTCAGAGGTATGCTTGAGGAAAGATTGCAGAAAAGCATCGCAAACGCTCTCATACCATCGATTATGGGTCAATGTGGCAGCATAGTGAAATGAACGAATCATGGAAGTCACATCTTTCCAAGGTGAATGTTTGAGACGTCGTTCGAAAACATTGTTCGATTGTTCACCCTCGAAATCAATGATTGTATAATCACCAGTCTTTGTATTGAACAATACTTGTCCAAGATGGAAGTCACCATGAACTTGAATACGATACGATTGAAAAGAACGAGATTCGAAGGTAGTGATAAAGTGCAATAATAACGCTTTGGCCTTTAAGATAGTCTTTGCCCAAGATGATGGACATGTTTCAAGTGCGGCATAGCATCGTTCAAGACGTTCAATGAGGCGTCGAGTGATGAATCTACAATATTCCTTAGTGAATATTTCAGAAACGAAATCAGTGTCCGAACAATGTGGTTTGTGCAGAACTAAATGCATCTCAGCCGTACGACGTCCGAGTAAGGCAGCTTTTTCGACTAGGAATTGCGGTGATAAAGGTCCGTCTGTAAGACTAGTTACTATCGACCAACAGTCGCGGGCGTTTGAAACAAAGTCTTGCACGAATATCAAGGCAATATTCGAACCTGGATCTTTCAACCAAACCATCGCACCAAAACAAGTCGGAATGTGATTTGAAAACTCGCATTGTTGTCCAATGAACGTGAGCATTTCGATTTCTCTATTCATATCGGTCGACAATTTTCTATAGAGTTTGAAGAGATATTTATCATTGAAGACTATCAATGAATTCGTCGAGTCGGTAGATAAAATTTGAGACAATCGATACGGTTCATCAATGTCCTTAAAATGAATTGTTGAGAGTGATTTATCACTTTTTCCAATATTGAAATGTTGAAATAATGCTCGACGAAATGATTCGTCATAGATAGCATCGACAAGCGTAAAATCTTTTCCATCCGAAAGAGCTATCTCAGTAATAAGGGCATTTCCAGGCACATCCTGCGCTTTCGTTGCCAAGAGACTGACTGGTAAAAAATATGTCTCTTTCTCATCTTCATAGTCGACCCTGATGATCAATAGGTATGATGGGTGCGTTAACCATTCAAGAATATGCTGAACAGTAGCACTATGCGGACATCTTCCTTTGCCAGAGAACCAGCGACTTCGATTGGCAAATGGTAGAAAATGATGCGTACAAAAATCACGCCAGAACTCAGCGTTCAAACGAAAATGTAACCAGTCTGTATACATCAACGAATGTTATTCATTCTTTGTAATTAGCTTGAATAAATGCTCTGTTTTTCATGCTTTGCACATGGCCAGGCAATTAAAGGAATGAGTAGCATGAAATGAGAAGATTGGTTGTGTCACAAATGATTGCTATGTTACCCCAGTATTTTTGCATGATTTGATATGATTTTTTTTAACAATTCGATGTTCTATGAAAGGTTCGTATTTCATAATATGAATATAAAAACAAGAAAAGTTACACTTCGTCAACTTGTAAATTGCAAAAAATGCGCCGAAAAAATACATAGAATTTAATTTTGTCGTTCGTTTTCTTCTATATATTGTGCTTTTTCGACAAATTTCCATTTTATTTTGTAATACCTCTTCACTCCTTAAATCTTTATGTGCGACGAGTTCTGCAGACAAACAGGAAAGGCAAATTGAAAAAGATCCGATTGTCTAGTGGAAGTATGGATATTATTTTGGATTTCAGTTAGTGATGACTTCTTTTTCATGCGTTCATTCTTAGTATTGTTTCCATTTTCTTTTGTTCTTTACACTGACAAGCTGATTCTGTATGCTAAAACTGGATGCGGATGTGGGTGTGGGTGTATGGGTGAGTGTGGGCGTGGGTTGTGGTTGCAGATATGGGTTAATAAAAACAAAACTCAGCGCCCACACCCACCTAGAGGCACATCAATACTCACATCCACCCCCACCCACACTGGCAGACCCTGTAGAGTCTGGTAGATCCTGGAAGACTCTGTAGACACTGGTAGATCGAACCATACATATTGATAGAAATTAAGAAAAACTGAATTATTATGTAATTCGTTACTTCTGAATTACTTTTAATTGATTTGTGTCATCCGATAGTTACGACAAAATGGAAAGCCATAAAACTGGGCATTAGCCGCATTAATAATCAAAATATCGGGTTCTACCTCAATTTGGTTGACACAAATTCATCACAACCAGTTAATGTTGTTGTTCCATTTTTTGAAAGAAAAGGTCTTATGGCAGTAAAATTATCGCACACAATAGCTGTAGAACGTAATTTGCGTTTACCAGGCCGGCATCTGATTCTCTAAAACTCCGGATTCAATCAGAACTTCTGAATTTTCATCCAGTAAAATTCGACCAAACTAAATCTTTTCCACCTAGGGTTTTTCGGTAGTTCATATACGTTAAATCTGTTTTCATAATACTTGGCCAAAGGAAAATCGTGGCCGGGGATTCAAAATCCGAGGTTCGACTTTAATTTCGAATACGTTTTCTGAAAAAAGGATTTCAACGAAAAATGTTGCGCATCTATCCAAACTATGTAGGAAGCAGCAACTCTTTAGTAGTTCAAAATAGCTCACAATTAGTCAACGACAGCGGTGAAATCATGTTAGCGTGCGTAACCAAAGTTAGCTAATTGAAATCTTTACTTCGTTTTTTCAAAACATCATTGGTGGTCCAGGAACCAAAAGGAATCGAATCTTCAAGGAAATGGTTTCTCCGCAGTACGAGGAAAGTCTTGCCATGCGAATCGCCTGAAAGACTAGTATTATGAAACGCGATTCGAGAATAAGCGTTTTGTTTAAAGCTGTAAAAGTGTACCTGCTTTCCCCTCTTAGTCTGCTTAAGTTGATTCATCAACTTAAATTTGTTACGCATAGTTCTACGATAACTTGAGTAAAGTGTACACGACGAATCCAATAGAATAGAGCCTCATATCTGACAGCAATATAACTTTGCTAAATCTGCACAAGCTAGTTATAGAGAAGGGAGTCACGGTTTCGGTGTGCGATATCTTCTTGAGCAATACTGTTTTGAATGAATCACTTGAGTATTCAGCAATTATTTTATAGAATAGTGAGAATCTGAGTAATTGTATACAAAAAGTCTCACACTATCCAATTAATTCCAAGATGTGAAAAG